TCTCAACATCGAAAATCGCAAACAGATCATGAATAGCAGAGGGTACAGATGTAGAAACCTGATTATGTAAAATGCAGAGAAAATTATAGGGCAAAGTACAGTAAAATCTATAATTTTCTGTGTGATGGGTGCGTGAAAGTAAACTCAGTAGACCGTCGACTGAGGAAAAATCATCAGTCGATCAGATCAGCGGAACTCCGTCATGGATATTCATTTCATTTCTGTGTCGATTCTTTATAATTAATATTCTAGTCATATGTTCGTTATACTTATGACGTTTAGAAAACTCGAAGACTGTTTAAAAGTCACTATAATAAGCTCCTCACTAGGATGCAATAAACAAAATTTCAATGACAATATTTTCAAACTTGCTTGGATATTGTGTATATAAAATGCGTCGCTTGTTTGTCGAATTACCCCGTTTGTTACTTGTGCAGCATAAAAAGGCTTTACTTATTTTTCTTTTCTCTCCCGCGTTTTCTTCGATTTTTTTAAATTTCTGTCAATCAAATGTTCTCTTGAGAAACACTGTTCATGGCAACAGTAAAATACACAATACAGGGAGTAGACGAACAACGACGGCAAACAAGGGAAAAACATTTGTAAAACGAAATGCATTTCAAATGGACTACACGCATCGATACTCATTTGTGTATGATATGCAATGATTGACGTTGTTCAAAAACAGGCAATGGTAGACAATTATAGAGTGTGGGGTGTGTGTATGGATGGGAATGAGCCACACTCACATCTTATAATCCTGCTATAGAAGTTTGGATGATTCATTGTCGCCCCAAGGTCAAATATATATATTATGGATCGGCTCTTCACTTAACCTTCAATCAAGTAAATGTCATGAAATAGCAGATAGTTTACTGATAACAAATCGAGCCAAGCAACTTTTCTAAGAAAATTGCTGCCGATGCTTCTTGAAATGTTATTAGATTATACTCTTGAGAGGATTTTGATTGAAAAAAATCGAATAACATTTCTAGATGACACATTCGAAAAAGTAGCTCGTTTTCACACTGAAAACGGTTACTAATAATTCTCTTTCAGAATTGATGTCATATCGTTTTTTTCTCTTCGATCTTTGAGAATACATACGATTGTGATGATCTTTGAAGCAAATAATTATTGTGTATAGCTGTATGCTCAACGTATCAACTCTAGAAGCCTAATTCAAATCATGTCATTAGAATTTCATTTATGTATTGTTAAGCAACAAATCATCGAAGATGAAAAATATTCTGTTGCACTATCTATGGCTCCCTGTGAAAGCCTGGCTTTTCTTGGGCTTTGGTACATCGATTAGTACATCCACAGATCGGTGGACAGCATTTTTCATTCGACGCACATTGACTGTCTCGCGTGCAGCAATAGGGGTCTTTCGCACACATCTTAGTAGCCGAACCAGGAGGACAGTAGATATCGCACACCATGACATGTAACGGACAGTAGCCTAGAAAAGTATAATCTTTATTGCTCTTTATTACCTATAGAGAGTACTCACCCGCATGCACTTTCTCCAACTTCCAGCTTTCGAGTGCTTGAGTGTCAGCAAAAAAGAGCACAAGAAGCAAGAGCAAAGGGAGAAAACGCATCGTTGCAGTAATGTAATCGTGTATGAAGTATGATAAGAAGAGTGAGAGTAGCTCTAGTAATATACATACAGATATTCACCTGTTCTTTTTCCTTTCATTTTCAAACACTGATTCCACTTAATGTGATTTGCTTTGCTTATTGTTGTGGGTGTGCGAGTGGGTTTGAATGTGTGTACAGATGCCGGTAGACGCAAAATTACATTTCATATCCACACTCACACTTCACACCCACACCCTCTAACCAATCATAACATCACTAGCTAAATTAATAATAATTTTTTCTTGTTTATTTGACGCTATTGTCGATGCTTGTGATGTGAAAAACTGTTTGAAAGTAAAAATTGATGTCAATTGAAACAGATGATTAAGATTAAATACTGAAGAAATATGATTCATATAATTCGAAAAAAATTCTTACTGATTTTTACAACTTCTCAATCGCATAATATCTCGAACTCTTTCTGCTCAACTGTGCTGCTTTTCGTTAGTTTCCTTATTTATCTATTTGTGTAATCTGTCAACAGAGTTCACTATTATCTTGAGTTCTCATACATTCTTCCTGTTTAGTTGGCTGACAATGTATCAGAGATAAAAGCAAACATATTTTTCATTGTGCAAGAAGTTTATTGATCATGTTTTTATTTAAAATATAACGAACTAAGCAAGTAACTATTGAATCGATTTCAATTTGCGCCATGATGATCGACACCAAGATGTTGAAGTTTCCTTCTAATATCTGCACGAATTCTTCGGCACCCTTCATGTTGGAGCGTATCTGCATCATTATATAGATGATCAGCCCATTCAAGTAAACCACGTGCCAAGTTCGGTTGGCCTTGCTGTTTATGTCTATTTGCTTCTTCTGTTAAATGATTAGCAATTTGATTGGTTAATTCAATGAGAAGCAGTTCGTCAGAATCAAACAGCTGTAACTTGCTTCTCTATGGTTCACTCCAGCTACTATGCTTTATGATGTTACCACAGAATATGAATATTCGAGCGACACATTCGAAATTGAAGATTTGTGGAACGATTTCACGACCTAATTTGCCTGAAACGATAAGAAAGACACACTTTTCGGCATCTTGTTGCTGACGAATGAAATCGATAGTGGAATCAATGTCTACAAAAGTTTGTATTGGATTAGTAACACGACGGAAGCGTTCTTTCATTGGTTCGTTATCACCTGGCTCACCAATGTATTTGTCCAGCCATACAATAACGTGTCGATGCAGTGTTTGTGCAGTTTCATCATTAAATGCCATCGTTTTTTGAAACAAGTAATTTTTATATTAAAATATATAATTGATATATTGTTTCGACCAAAGTATTAAGATATATATGCATATTTAAAATCATTACTCGTTTTCTCCATTTATAACCGCCAGATATTTAAATGACAAAACATGACTCACAATTTACATTTGTTTTGGTTTCTGTTTCTCTTATCTTTTACAAGCAGAAAATGACTCACGAATATTATGGTATGATGGCGTAACTTTATGCACCGAAAGAAAGAAAAATATAGAAAAAGTTTCTTCCTAGTACTATACTCGTTCAATCGTCATTTTCTTTCCATGACCTTAGTATGTAAATAAATAACTTTTTCTTCGGACTCTTTTATTCTTCTTCTCATAAAGTATATTTATGTTCTGTGAGATTAATGATTGTCTGCGGGTGTGGATGTAGCTTTTCTCTTAGCACATAGGTCACATCCACACTCACACTCTCAAAATGACACTTATGAAGATAATGGACTTTAGAAATAATGTTATTTTTCATTTGATTGAAATCAATTTGTCATCTTCTAATTCTAATCAATGACATTGATTTATTGATAAATAAATCTTTTTTGTTTACTTGTCAAATATTTGAAATTTTTTTTTTTTTTTGAAAAAGTTCATCTATATATTAAAAAAGAAAGATAAAGATTTTTTGTTTTAGATTTTTATTTCGTTAATTTTTCTTTTTAAAATATAAATCGATGTTTTTTCTTGGTCTATTTAAAATGTTGTTCATTTGAACAGATTGTCGTCTATGTTGAAGAAACAAAATCTGAGATTAGAATTTCCTATTGAATCAGTTTAGTAAAAATGTATAAAGACGTAATGAACCGTATTTTTTATAAGATATTTATGGATTTTATTATCTTTGAACTCGTTCTTTTCAAAGAAAGTATCTTTTTCTAATTAATGTCGTTATGTTCTCATTTCAGTTGATCATTCGGATTCTGATAACTATGAAGAGACTTATTCAATTTTCTGTCCTGAATTTCATTATAAATTCATGTAACAGTTATTATCTTTTATTTTTCAACTTGCACCTCTCTCTGCAGACATTTATATCTCGTCAATGCAGGACAACACTAATGCTCACATGCCGTTCTTTTCTAGAGTGTGTTCCATACATGTTTAGTCCTACGTAACTAAAAAAGTTTGAGGTGTATAGCTTTTATTGTGGATGAGTACCAAAAACAGTATTGTCATAGACTATTTTTTCGATTCTCCTCATCATCTCAGTCAATATTTTTCCAACAATATAACTGTAAGAATTAAAAGGAAGTCCACATAAAGTGTTCAATGTTCATGGTTTTGGTAAGATTTTGTTATTCATAAGATACCACTATTAATGATCGATATAAATATATACTAATAGATTTTTTTTTATAAACATTTTTGAAATTTCGTCATGACGATTGATAATAAATGGTTAAAACGTTTCAATTAACTTATTTTATAATTCTGTAAAATGCCAATCATTATTGAATAAGATAAACTTTACTGTTTGAATACATAGATTGAGTAAAATGAACATTTTGTCCTAGACATGATGACATTTTTGTATTGATCAATTATAATTATGATAAGAAAGCAAGCTGTATTGCATACTGTCTTGTCTCAATAGTATTCTGTTGAGAAAAAAATAATAATAATAATATTTCGCGCCACAAAATAAAACAAAATACTATTGGAATACATGATTCCCTACTATTCATTTAATCATCTCCATGTCTTCCATTTCTTTCTTATCATATCAGGTAAAATATTTGAATTATCAGAGCATAATAATATTATTATTCATAGCTGTTTGGTGTTTCAATGAGTCCTGTATTGATGATAGTTTATGTTCAAAACAAAATTTACAATGCCATTTTGGTCATTGCTTGTGTCCATTGAATCAATTCTGGGCTGGATATGAAAAACATTGTATTCCATGTCCTACAGGATGGATTAATCTTAGTAAGAATATTTATTTTGAAAAACTAGTGAATTTCTTTTTTCGTTTCGTTGTTCATTTTTTAGTTGTTTTTTGTATTTATTACGAACATCAAATCATGGATTGGTTAAGTGCTCAAACAACATGTCGACAAATGATCGATTCAACAAATAAAACAAGTCGATTACTTGAAATGAATAATCTAGATGAATATAATTTCATTCAAAAATATATTAAACAAATATTAACAGATAATCAAATGAAAATAGAAGTAAATAATAGTAAAGGAATATTATCTAGTACAATTGCATTTATTGGTAGTCTAGGATTAAAAAGTTCAACAGCAAGTAAGTTTAATAGACATGTAAGGTGTCGATAAGTTAAGATTTGTGTAACATTCTTTTTGTCATAGTTGGATAGAGCTCTCAAGTTGCCTAAAAAAAACGTTGTTTTAAACACATCCAGTCCTGGTAGCTTCAATATTTTATACAATTGTTTTTTTTGTTTTACTCATGATATATTTAGGAAAAACTTAATGCATGTATTTCGACCTTAGAAGAACCACTCAATATTTAGATATTTGGTGAAAAAATGAAAACGATTTTTCTTTTGCGATTTGAATAATATTCAATAAATTTTGGTCAATGACCTACTTTTCTGTTTAAGAATTCAGAAAAATCCTAGACTGAAAAAGCAAAGAAAGTAGAAAGGCCTATGTTCAAACTCGATAAAATTTTCACAGAAAGTTTTTCTTGGTCTGACAGGTCTACTCAGTAAGCAGAACGATTCATATAGATTTTCCGTGTTTTTTTTGTCTCACAAGTACTTTAATAGAAAAAGCACGAAAAACTACATCTTCTCATATATTGACCATCGGAAACCTTTGACAAATTTCACATTTTTACCATGAATTTTTTTTGTTGAGTGCTAAAAATCAATATTGTTATATTAAAAAACAGAAGTTTTAATCATGAAAAGTTTGAAGATAAGCCTGTTTTTATGGTTTTTTTTTGCTTGCTATCATTATTGAAAAAATGATTTTCTCAACAAACGAACAAATAAGATAAAGATTGAGATTATCAAAACAAGTTTCACTACAAAAATAACGTTTTTTATGTAATTCATGAGCTCTATTTAACTGTGACGAAAAAATTTTGCTCGAATTGTCGGCATCTTATCTATCATTAAAATAATAATAAAATAGATTTCTTTTTATATAGAATGGACCTATCGTTGGGGAAATAAGTCTTCTAATACATATACAAGTACTAATCCAATGTGGTGTAAAGAAAAACATTGGAATTCAATAATATTTCCAGCTGAACCAGCATGGGAACAAAATAAAACAATCAACAAAACTTTTCAAGCATTTAAACGATGGAATGATTCAAATGATGGATGTCTTGTTTCACTTTTATCAACAACTAAACAACCATTTCTTTGTGAAATCATCGGTGAATAATCTTAACAAAAAAAAAAATCTATCGATTTTATTTTCATATAAATCTTATTGAAGGTGAATCAGGAAGACTTAATAATCAATCTATTATATCTTTTATTTCTCTTACTATAACAACCATAATATCATCAACAACAAGAAAACGAACTATAACTAGTGATCCTTCATCATCATTAATCTCTCAACAATTATCAACATCATGTAAATTAAATTAAACTGATGGAGCATAATTTCATTCTCAAGAAAAATTGTCGACATTGTTTTTCTAAAAAGTTCACCATATTGACGTAAAACTTGTACTTTAAGTAAACAAGAGACTCTTTTCAACTAAATTTACTTTGCGAATAATTGATATTCATATAATTTTTCTAAGACAATCACTTCCGAAACTTGATAAAAAAAGAAAACTCCATCAATTTTCTCATAAATAGGGGTGATGTAATTGCGTAGGTTTGTAGAGAATGTTGGTCATTTATTATGCTCTACCTGTTAATTTCATTGAGTCGATCTTTTGTTTTTTTTCTCGTTTAGTTTTTAATAGAACTACAACATTAAAATTGAATGTGACAAATGAAGAATCAGGTTTAAAAAATAAACAATTTTTATTTATTATTATTGGAATTATTGGTATTGTTTTATTAATAACTCTTCTTATCATTATTATTAATATTAAACAAAAGAAACAAAAATCATCTAAAAATTTAAAATCAACTAGAAAAAAATCATTATCTGATTCAAAAATTGATAAAAAAAATCTAGAAGATTTACAATCAAATGATTCATTTGATTCAGATTTAACAGCTGAAAGTACTACTCAAAAATCTATAAAATCAACAGGGTAAAAATTTACAAAATTATTACGCAGAATTACAAAATTTCAGAATTAGTGACCAACTCCTCTTTTTTGAAGACGCGTTATCTCAAAATATGTCCTTGTTGCAATTGTTCTGAGTTCAGCATGCCTGTTTAATGTGTACAGTTTTTGTGTAAGAAGAGTCAAGTGTTTTTACAACATAAATCATCGTATCGTTGAGGCCCGTTTCTGTTTCATATGAGCATTATTCAAATCAATTAAAACATTAACAATAACTATATTTTGGTTTTTAGACTATTCACTGACAATCAGTCATTAACACCAAGTAACTCAAACTCTAGTAATGCAACGAAAGCTGCTTTATGGGATGAAATGGAATCATCATTATTTTCTTCAACATCTCGTGATCCTATCAAACATCAATCTTCATATCAAAAAACTAAACCTTTGTAATTCATAAATGAAAATTTGTTTTATTTATTTTTTCTTCTTTTGTTGTCTATCTTTCATTTTCATCCATTATGTATATCATTAGTGTATGTGTATAGATATATATATATAAAATTCAACCATCAAGAACACTAATATTTGTATAGAGCACAAGAGAAAAAAAAAGAAGTACAACTACATACAAATAGACATTGAGTTCTGTTCACTACTTGAAAGTATAATCTCTACACATATATATATATACAAACAGAACAACAATAGGAAAAAAGAAATTTTTTTTATCTGCATATTATTCACATAATGACAAGACCATAGAAATAATTTCTTGAAGAATTTTTACGCCAGATGGTGTAAAGGCATGCTAAACAAAAAAAAACATCAATAAATAAATTCTTTTAACTAAAAAAAATTCAACATACCGACATTTGCATAAAAACAGTAAATTTCTTTAAAATAAATGCCATTGTATCAAATTTTTTTTGTGGCATTAATACTCGTATTTGTGATGCATATGTTGTACAATCACGTAATAGAACAACACCTAAAATAATACCAGTAAATGCAGCAACAAATGTATTTTCCATATGACCAGCTGCTTTTTGTAGAGCACGATTAAAATTTGCTTCATTTTCATTATTATTATTTTTTGGATTTTGTATACCTAAACGTTGATCTAAATCATTATCAGCATCTTCCATCATCCAATCATTTTCTTCATGAGATTCAGCTTTAGCTGCTAAAGATTCTTGTTCACAAAATAACTTAAAAAACAACAACAAATGATTCATTATTCATCAATTTTTATTTCTATTTTAATCAAAAAAAAAAAACAAACTTACATTAGCAAGATATTCATAGATTTTTTTTGAACTTCCACCAGGCATATTATCTTCCATTAAATGTTTATAAACATTTTTAGTATTTTGTACTAAATTAATTAATAAATTAAGTGTCTGTAAAAAAAAATAGAAAATAATAAAAGTATCAAAAAAAATAAATAATAATAACAAACCAAAGCAATTGAATCAAATTTATCTTCATTAGGTAATGAACTTTGTTCAATAGTAACCAAAAGACGAAATAAATTTGAAAAAAAACGATCATCAGATGTTAAACGATCACAATGAGATTCTAAAAAGATCGATGAAAAATTATTTTATAATTAAAAAGCATATAGATTGACAACTAAAGTCTCATAACTAATTAGCAAAATCATTTTTTGTTTGTCAATCAAAACTATGTACATTATATAGTCGAACAAAAGTTCGAACCGTTATCCATGGAAAAATTTTTCAAGACAAAACCGCGGTTTTTTTTTTGTTCGGAAGAATTTTTCCGTGGGTAGATTTTTAGCAGTGAAAATATTGAATATTTTCATTATTTCTTAATCCCATGCTGGAAAGTCTCTCTCTCTCTCAAGAACATAAGAAAAACTCATTTTTTGTAAATATTAATTTCTAAAATTACTAACCACAATCATTTGTTAAACTAGCAAATATTGACATAATAGTTTTACATCCATCTCGAAATATATCATATGTATCTGAACATTTTGTATTATCTGTTTTTATATTTGATGTTGTAGTTATTTTATTATTATGATCATTCGTTGATGAATATTGTTTAAACCAAACAAGTGAAAGATCGAGTAATCTAAAGAAAAAAAAGTTTTATTTATTACAACAAAAAAAAAAAAATTGAAAATAAATTTACTTTGATAATGAATGAAATAATAAATATTGATTATATTGTACAATATATATTCGATTAATATCAATATTTGTTGATATTTGTTCTGAATGATCATTAATAAATTCTTCTAACATATTTATATAACGACAAACTTTACGATAACGTATTAATATTTCTGATAATGAATAACATTCAAAATCATTATTTGATAAATCTTGTACAATTGAATTAACTTTAATTTCAAAAAAAAAAAAGAATTTTAAACAAAAAAAAAATCGAATTTTTCATACTAGCATCAATTATTAAATCAAAAATATGTAATGTACGTGCTTCATTTTTTAACCATTCTTTTATATTATTACGACATATATTAACAAATGTTTCAAGTATAATATCACATGTCTACAAAATCAAAAAAAAACAGAAAGGTTTTATTTAAATTTTTTTGTTGTTTTTACATCAAATCGTTGTTCATAGAAAATATCATCTTGTAATGATTGATTAATTATTGTTAATATACGTTGTTTCATTTTTTTATATTCATCATCATCATTTATTAAATTTTTTGATCGATTTTTATTTACTAATTCAATCATTAAATGTATTGTACTAAGATTTATTCCTGATGTTAATGTATCTGATGATAGAACATATAAAATAAAAGCTGTACATATATTTAAACACTGAAGAAAAAAAATTAGAAAATTTAATAATTGTCAAAATTACAAAAAAAGAAGAAACACATACTGGTACTTCAGGTGCATCTTTTAGTAAATCAAGTACACGTTCAAGTGCACTTTCAGTTCGTAAATGCATACGAAATGATGGTTTAACACATAATTCAGCAAATTTAACAGCACTAAAAATAAATTAATAAAAATTTCGAGAGTACTCAGTAATTGTATTCAGATGGAAAGGGACAAAAAAGTAGGTAGGCCAAGTGGTGTCTGATACAAACTTGAAGCCGGTCAAGTCTTTTTCGACCGGACCGACCGGTTGAAATTCTTGATCTAACGGGCAGAAAACCAGGAACACAAAATAAACTAGAAAGATCGTTTTTTTTATGCTAGACGGATCTTCACAGTTGCAGAAGACTAGTAATTGGTATGATGTTTACAATAACAGGAGACCTTTTTTAATAGTCAAATAATGAAAGCATGAAGTAAGAAACAGTTAGCTATTGGGAGTTTCTGACTGTCAATAACAAAGTGAGCTCGAAATCTTGAGCAGCAAAATCTTTAGTTCAAACTATATTTAGGCTCTGATGAACTGTTAACTTTTCATGACCATAATAAATCCATTCAGCGTAATTTGAGATCCTCACCATACGACGAGAAAGCGAGAGTTCAAAATTTAGAGTAACTATAAATTTATCAATGAAAAATTTTTACGCTCATGTCTGTTGATCTTTGAAGCCATGAAAATTAATAAAAAAAACCCGTCTACACCGGTTTTAAAAGTGCGGTCGGTCCGGTTCCAAGTATAGTCTGATATCTATAAGCAAGTGTTCAGGCGTACTACAACTGACGAGGGAACCGTTCCAATTGATTCACGTTGATTTTGCCCATATGTAGCTCTCATGGTCCTTAATGCATGCTAAAAGTTTCAGCAAAAATAAATGTCCTATTGCCGAGATAACGAATTTGCAATAAGTGTCTGCATTTTATAGAGGACTCAGAAAAATCGAGTTTTCTTGGTCATTCATTATGTCAACAATGGGACATTTATTTTTGCTGAAACTTTTAGCATACATTAAGGACCATGAGAACTACATATGGGCAAAATTTCAAGTCAGAATTTCATCATTCGAATTTTTTGTAAATACTTTGCCATAGGCCGAAAAATCAGTAAAATGGTTATAACCTTCGAAAGAAGCGCCATGGGCGCAAATCCTCTTAGGCTTTTTCTTAGCATACTGACTCCTCCATATGAGCAAAATCGACGTGAATCAATTGGAACGGTTCCCTCGTCAGTTGTAGTACGCCTGAACACTTGCTTAGGGTGGGTTTCAATTAGCAGAATAAACATTGTTTTTTTTCGTAATTTTTTAAGAGATTTCATTTCTTTTATTTGTGACGATCGTAATAATTTATGACTATGAACATTTTTTTCTATGATCAATGACCTTTTACTGTATCCTATAGTGTGACCTATACCGTTGAGGCACATCGCGGCGAAAGTGTTAATATGAATACTTTTATTTTCTTTATATAAACAAAGATACCTAAGACAACGACTAGCAAGTAATTTATCACTTTGAAATCCTGCTAAAAGATATTCCATATCATCAATATAACTTTGAGTTTCACCAAGTTCTTCACATGTAGTTGGTTGTCGAATATTTGGTACAATTGTATACATCTTTATAAAAAAAAAAAAGATTTAATTCGATAATAATAATATTGTATAAATTTACTTTTTTTTGATCTCTTGGACAAATAAGTTTTGTTTTACCATTTTCAATAATTGTTGTTGCTGTATGAATATTATCTGTACTTTTTGATTTAACAACTAATGAAGTTTTTGATATTGTACGTTGTTCAACAATTGATTGTGATGAACATATATTAGTTGATATTTCTTGATTATTATTATCTAAATCATATTCATTTATTTCACTACTAAAAAATGCTTTATGATTTAATTGTGCTCGATTTGCCTAAAACCAAAAGACAAATTTTCAATAATGAAAAATATATTTATTATTAAAATAACAAAACAAACTTTATAACTTGTACTAAAAATTTTTCTTGGTCCTGAATAAATTGTTTTTGTTAAAGTTCGTTTTGTATTTTTTAATATTAATTTTTTTTTAACTATTCCACTTGATATTGTTGTTAATTTTGATGGTGAACTTTGACTATTATTACTACTACTATTACTACTTTGATCATCATTTGTTATATTATTTGATAATTCAGTTTTTGGTGGTGATTGATTTTTATTATCGATCATAATATTTGAATCGATTGAACGTGATTTTGAATTGAAAAATATTCCACGACGTGTCGTCATTTCCCTTTTTTTTCTATTCAATCTGTAATAAATAAAATAAAAAAAAAAAAAGAATCAATCGAAATGGACAATGACCACTCTTTTCTATTGTTTATTATTTTGACAAATTAAATATGATTTGCTATTGAAATTAACCAATGATAAAACAAATATATTTATTTATGTTCGTTAAGAATCATCAATTATACTGAAAGCCATGGTGAGTTTAGATGATCGTTTACTTGGAGAAAAATTACAAAATTATTGTAGTAGTTCATCTGATGAAGAAGATGAAAAAGGTAAATTGATAAGTCACAATTGAAGATGTTTTTATTTTTTTCTGTAAGATAATGATTCTGATCATGGTGATAAACAAGAAAAATCAACAACAAAATTCACACCAGAATCAGAATTAAAACCACCAAATGCATCAAGTGGTATTACTGAAAATGTAAATAATTCAAGAATAATTATATAATTTGAAGAAAAAAAAAAACAAATTACTATTTTAGACTGGACCAAAAGGTGTTATTGAAGATTGGCGACGTTATAAACAATTGGAAACAGAAAAACGAGATGAACAAAAAAAAGAAAAAAAAGAATTAATTAAAAAATTAGCAATGACATGTAGATCGTATGTAAGTTAAAATAAAATTTATATAATAACCTTGAAAAGTATTAAATATTTTCGACAAGTCTTATAAGGGAACCTTTCCAAGTGTTAATCGAGCTCATATTTTGTCTATAACTAAAACTCGATGAGACTAGCAGAAACTCGGAAGGATTTGTTTCTATACGCTGTTCTTTCGGAGTTACGATCATTTTATTGGTTTTTCGACTTGTGGCAATGGTATTTATACGGAAGCTCAACTATGAAATTTTGTCTATAAACAGGTCTCATAGTTACTAGAATGTCCTAAAAGTTTCAGCTAAAATGAATGTTTCTTTCTCAAGATATTGAATTTTCAAGGAACGATCATATTTCAAAGGCAAAGGTCAAAGAAACGTTCATTCTAGCTGAAACTTCTAGGACATTCTACTGATCATGGGACCTGTTTATAGACAAAATTCCATTGTTGGACTTCAATATAAATACCACTGCCAGAGGTCGTAACTCCGGAAGGACAACGTATGGGGATGAATCCTTCCGGAGATTCTGCTAGTCTCATCGAGTCTTAGCTATGGACAAAATATGAGCTCGATCGGCGATTAACACTTGGGAAGATTCCCTCGTTAGTTACATGAGTCCATATTGAAGTAGTACGATCATGTTTCGGGTTTTTTTGTTTGTCATGAAGGATTATAAAACTTATATTTTTGTTAAAATTGATACAAAAAAAGTCAATCATTGGTAGAGTGTGTACATAGGAAAATGAATAGAATACTTTTATATCTATTTAGTTGGATGAAGAAGAAGCAAAGAAAAAAGAACAAGAAGTTGGTGAAGATGAATTTTTTGATCCTGAAGGTGACTTTTTTAAAGAATATCGAGCAAAATTAATGTATCAAATGCAACAACGATTATTGAATGCGTATGTATTTTTCTTTTTGAAATTATTAAATTATGTAATATGAATTAAATAAAATAATTTTATGTCTTTTTTTTTTAGTCCTCGTTTTGGTAAACAAATCGATTTAAATCGTGAAAATTTTACAAATGCAATTGATGATGAAAATAAAAATGTTACTATTGTTATACATGTTTATGAAAAGGTTTGTTTCTATTTAATGTATATATCAATTAATTAAGTTTTCAATACAGAATAATTCTTTTTTTGTAACTCTAATCTAGTGGCGGAACCAGGATTTTGTGGTATGCTGGATCTCAGCTTTAGAGTATGGGTCCCAGTTGAAACTTATGGGAGGATGATATTGGTCTCAAATGATGAGTTTCTATCTAAAGATTTTTGCGATAAGAGTTTGCTAAAAAAATTAGCATTTTCCTGAGCCTCCCCAGAAAATTTCTAATACTGTCCGTAGTAACCTATTTCTAAGTATGCCATCGCACGCTACGTTGAATTTAATCGATAGATTTAAAATCTCATATAAAAATATATTTTTACATGAGATTTGAAATCTGTTGATTAAATTCAACGTAGCGTGCGATGGCATGCTTAGAAATAGGATACTACGGACAGTATTAGAAATTTTCTGGGGAGACTCAGGAAAATGCTAATTTTTTTAGCAAACTCTTATTGCAAAAATCTTTAGATAGAAACTCATCATTTGAGGCCAATATTATCCCCCCATAAGTTTCAACTGGGACCCATACTCTAATCGATTCTTTTTATATAATCTAAAGAGATAAACTATTAGTAAAATCTGTCGGATTAGTCTCGAACTCAATGAAATTTTAACAAATGATTTTTGAAGTATATTTTTTTTTCTTTTTTAATAGGCAGTAATTGGTTGTAAAACAATGAATAATTGTATTGAAATTCTTGCTGAACAATATCCATATATAAAATTTTGTCGAATTCAAGCATCTGAAGCACAACTCAGTCATAATTTTGTATATATATTAGTTTATTATTTTCTTATTTGTTTTAAATTTTTCATTTTTAGGTTCAAAATGGTTGTCCAGCACTTTTAATTTATCGTGGTGGTGAATTACTTTCATCATTTATTTCAATAACAAATAAATTAGGTGATGATTTTGTTGCTAGTGATGTTGAAGGTTTTTTACAAGAGTAAGCAAAATATTTTTTTCTTTGTTTTTTGTTTTATTTTGATGTTAATTTTATTCACAGATCTGGATATCTTTCATCAACTGAATGTGTTAAAACTAACACTGTACGTGATAGTCAAACACAAGAAAATAATAAATCTGATACAGATGATGATTAAATTTCTATATATATATATATATTACTAGTCATGTTTTAATCGTTTGTGTGTTGTTGTTTTTTTTCTCAAAAATAAAATATTGTATTGCATGCCATATAATGTAGATATATATATAGATTACCAAAATGCATCAACACGATCAACAGCTGCTTTAAGAAAATCTTTATGTGAAGCATATAAATCAAGTGTATGATCAGCAATACACCAAACAACTTTCTCAGCATCATCACCTAAAGAAAACGAAGTAGATGAGATTTTTTGCTTTTTTTTATTTATTAAAATTTCATACCAGCATGTAAATCAAGTTGATCAGTTAATTGACCTGTTTCATCATGAAAATGCCTAAAAAAATTTATAGAGAATTTTTTGTTGTTGTTGTAAATATTAACTTACATAGCAACTGTTTCCATCCAAGCATTATCTGTATTTCGAGGATCATCAACATATGATTCATATAATTTATAACCATTTGAAAATAATCGTTTTATTTGATTATTATCAATACCATCACGTAATGCTTCTTCTTGAAATTCACGCATTACTGTATTTGAAACATTTTCACCTGGATCGACCATACCCTTTTAAAGATCATAAAAATCAATATATTTAAATATATATATGTCTTACTCCAGGTAAAGCCCATTCTTTTGTATCACGTCGTCGAATAGCAACAAATTCAAGAACAGGTTTTAAATGATTATGTGCATTAATTCGACGATAAATTATTGAACCCTTTTCATCACGTTTCCAACTAAAGAATAAGAAAATAAAAAAAAAACATGTTCAAAACATTTTATCTATACCGTGTAACAACTGGATCACCAGCATGATTAGGACCCCAATAATATAGACGACCTCGACCAGTCACTAAAATTTAAATGATTTTAATTAAATTATCCTATAAGATCATTTATGATGACAATGAAAAATAAAAAGTTTAACAAGGACTGAATTATGAACGGAAAAAAAAAGAAGTCTGGGTCATACATATCTCTAGTCTTGACATACCTGTATAGGTTATGTGATATTATCAGATACATTTATTTGTAAACATTTTGTTTTTTTGGTTATTTCTCATATATGTTTTACCTGAGATATTGACTCATAAAAAGTATGAAATTCGTTTTTAATTTGATGATATGACTTTTTCATTTGATTTAGTTAATAAAACATTTTGTATTTTCTTACTTCCTGTTCTTCCTATTGGATTTCTTGGTCGTTGAGTTATTGGATCAATATAATAAAAACCAGTAAAACTTCGTCGATCAATTTTATTATCAATTTGATTAAATTTAATAATTTTCGATCTAAACTAAATCATACAATTAATATTTCTTTTGTTTTAATTGACTAACGAATCACATGGATCAGCTTTTGGATTACGTTGAATTTTAGTAGTTGTATATTCAATAGGTTTATAATCTGGAAAGTCAACATTCCAGGATACTTTATCATCAGGAACAGAAAAACGCTTTCAAAAAAAAAAACAATTAATTATTTATGATTAAATCATTGCTCTTTTTTTTTGTGTGTGTCTACTAACTTTAGCTTCATTATCATAAACTAATGATCGACATTTATAATGAGTTTTTAAACGTGTATTAGTTCGATTAATTGATCTTTCTCTTGAAGACTATATACATACATTAGTTTTAAGATGATATATTTATATCAAATAAATAAACTTACATTAGAATTTCTATATCTTGAATATTCATTCTCATTTCGTTTTGTTATTTGTAAATAACAAGGAATTTGTAAATTTTGATTCTAAAAAAATAATACATATTAAAGTTGAAGCAAATTTTTTTTTTGTCTTTATAATCAGTATGAATAATAAAATAAATATTAGTCACATTTTATAACAAGATTGTTTTTCATTTTGATACGAAAAAAAAAAAAGAAATCCTATATAAAAATATTCTTAATTAGTTTATCGACGTACAATGTATAAAGAATATTTTTTTTCTTCAGGTTCAAATATTTGAAAAATACAAAACAAAAAAAGAAGAACTTACTTTTATTGATTCACGATAATGTGCATCTCTATATCGACAATATTCTTGAATACTTGATTCACCATTCATAATTTTTTTTTGTTTTAAATAGAATCTATCTGGATGTAAATCCAGAATATTTTTTTGTTTTTTAATAAATAAAAATGCTGTTTGATTAGAATTGTTTTTTCGTTGATAAGTTGAAGAACGAAATTGAAAGTAATTTTGCACTTTCTTCAATTGTTGACGACAAGAAAAGTAAATTTTATTATGTGGTGAATATAAAAATGAACCGTTGGAATCATTTTCTTGTAAAGAAAGAAAAGTTCTCGTAACCATATTATTTTTTGTCGACCGTTAATGCTTAGATTTTTTTTTTTTTTTTCTTTTTTTTTTTGTAAAGAAGTAAACATTTTTTTTTTTTCTTCTTTTCTTGAATCACATACATCGAATGACAACAGAGACGAGAAAAAAAAAAAGAGTATATGAAAAAATATTGCTTATAAAATATTCTTCTTTTTTTTTTTTATGTTAGTCAACAATATTGAAAAAAAGAAGATATAATATTACAGATTTTCTTATACATAAGATATTAATCATAGTTCCAATTATTTGATGCCATCTTATACATGTTATATTCTGTACTTTTGCTTAATGATCATTTTCTTTTTTTTTTTTTTTTTTTCTTAATAAGAAGAACGAAAAAGACATGTTTTTTTGTTTTGCACATGGTTATGTGATAAAACCTATGATTATCTGCTTCATAGAATGTGTCTAACCTTCAATGATAATTAATATTTTTGATATCATTGGGTTTCGTTGTTTTTTTTTGTTTTGGTCAAATTTTTAATATATTTATGAGTCAAACGGAAGAACTTAGTGAAAAAGAATGTATGTTTCTAGTTTGATTATATCATAATATATAAAAAGCATGAAAAATAATGTTAATGATGATATGTGTATCATTGTCGTTTCATTAGCTAATGCATTTTTTTCAAGAAAAAAACTAATTTTATCTTGACAACGAGAATCTTCGTCTGCTTTTTCTGTACAACCAAATAGACCACCTGGACATTCACGATTTGCAGATTTTTCAATATAATCTAAGAAAACAGTTAATTGAGCAACATCACCAGCAACAGGTGTTATTGTACAGTTTGTTATATATGAAAGTGCACATGTATGATATTCATATGCATCTTTACACCATTTAACTTTTTCTTGTGCTGACCATCGACGATCAAAACGAACACGATTTTCAATAATTGGACTACATTGTTTTCCAGCCTAATTTTATATTCAAAAAATTTAAAAAAAAATTTTTATTTATTCATATATCTATTTATTTTTTTTTCCTACTTTTTCTAAATTACAAATAGGTATTGTTGCTGTAGTTGAACGATATCTTGTACCTTGTATTGTTTTTAATGTTGTACGACATTTATATTGTATTGGATTTGTTTCATTATAATCTATACAATATTTTCCAATACGTAATGCATTACGTTTAAGTTGTATATCTAATGATGCTAATGCAGCTGCATATTCTGTACGCATATCACAACAAAGTAAATGTTCATTGACACATTCAGAAAATGTTTTACCAGCATCACAATAAGCAAGTAATTGTTCTTCAGTATATAATTGAGATTTCATTAAATTTTCATCATCTTTTGATGGTCCTTGTGGACAATCAGCTGCTTTCCATATGTCACATTCATAACTTTTATTAATTAGAAATAAAAAGAAGAAGAAGAAGAACAACATCAACAACAAACATTTCGAATATATAATCATTTGATGTTAGAAAAAAAAAAAGAGCAAAAAACAATAAATGAATTTGTTTTATTTTCTATTTGTTAGTAGGATTAGAAACTAAGATAAACAATCGATCGGTTAAGTTAGTATACATGGCGCTAAAACAATCCATATACATCTATATATATTATAAATTATATAATACTTGTTTTATTGACCCTTTAAACAAACGTTTGACGTGTTGTTTATATAATCACTATGAGCTTATTCGTATCAATTTCTACAATTGAAGTTTTTCTTTTAATTGTTCATTATATTGTTATTATTTCTTTTACTATAATGATCGGTCTAATTACTTGGACATTATTCTTAATATATAAAGAAAAACAAAATGTTAATATTGATGAATATAATACAACAACTATTGAATTTGAATAAATTAAATATTTTATTTCATGAAATAAATTAGAAATAAGATTTTAAATATTTCTATTGACAATATAAGATAAACCGTAAACAAAGAACTATGTAAATATTTTTGCTATATTTTAACAACATAGACAAATATTGTCAAACAATCTTATGAAGTTGTACAACTAACTTCAATAAAGAACTGTAACCTTTTATGAGTTATTAAAAAAAAAAATTTATTTGCATAGTCAAAAATAAACGACTTTTAAATTTTTCCATAAATTCTCCATATGAAGTATTATTAGGTTTCATATTAAAATAGTTAGAATTAATTAACAAAAAAAACTACAATATTGTTTGTTTGTTTTTTTTCATAACTTGTGACACATTATAATTCTTTGTTGAAGTTAGTTACAGGACTTCAAAACAATTTTTGATAATAACTTATCTTTTATCAGTAATAAACAGAAAAAAAATATGAGTTCATTTTATGAAACTATAGTACAGATATTTACATATTTCTCTTCATTAATTTATTCAATCTTTTAGAATAATACCAAAAATGAGAATTCGTTGATAAATAACGGTATTCTCCAATACATTTATTTTTTTCTTTTTTCTTCTTTTATACAAAAAAAAAAAACAACGACTGTAAGATGACAAGGACAAAAAAAAGAAGCATAAAAAGACAAAAGAACGAAGAAAAAAAAAACTATACGTTTTTGAATGTTGATATTTAACTTAACTGCGCCCAATTTTGACATGAACATCTTAATCAATCAGACAAGAAACAAATAGACAGAGCGAGTATATAAAGATCAGGAAGATAAAGCATAGAAGACAAAGAAGAAAAAAAGAAGATATTAATATCAACTTGATTGTATGTCTACAGATATTGTGAAAGCCATCGAAATGCTTCACCATAACCTTCACGTCTTAGTACACTACACATAAATAATTCCATTGGACGACCAGCTATATCCGAACGAAGAACATTTCCTTTGCCTGTTGTAGCTGTAGAAATACCAAGTACATAACGAAGTTCTTGTTCACTACAAGCTCCTGGTAAATCAATTTTATTTCCAAGTATAACAATAGGTGCATTCGCTACTTGTTCATCTGTTAACAAACTCTAAAGAAATAATAAATTTTTTTGTTTTTTTTTCATATAAAAAAAAAATTAAAATAATATACAAACATCAAGTTCAGCTTTTGCTTCAGCAAAACGTGTTCGATCAACTGCATCAACAAGAAACACAATTGAATCAACAGCAGGAAAATAATCTTTCCATACACGACGAGCTTTAATAACAAAATAAAAAAAAATTAATTGGTTTTTTTTTCAATATAAAAAGAAAAATCTTTACCTTGAGCATGACCACCTAAATCAAATGTTGTAAATTTCATATTACCCATAACTAATTCTTCCGAAGCTAGATGAAAAACACAAAAATCATTTATATTAAATAATAAAATCAATATTATACTTGGATGTAGTGTTGGTACATGTTGAGCAAGTCGATCATCTTTAAGCATATGCAATAGAGTTGTCTAAAAACAAAAAAGATGATAAAACAAGAAAATTCATTTATTGTTTTTACTTTTCCAGCATTATCAAGGCCAAGAAATACAAGTTTACCACTTTTTTTATGAAGACCTATTTTAAAATAAAATAAATTAGTTGTATATATACAAGGTTAAAATTAATAACGTTATACCAAGTGTTGTTAAAATATTGGTAAACCAATCCCATAAAAAACTCATTGTAATTTATGAATTATTTCAATTGGCTTTGATAAAAATCTGAAGAAACAAAAAATAAAAAAAAGTTTTATTTTTTACAAACAACAAGTAAAAGTAATTATTTGTTTCTTTTACGGCCACGTGTTTAAAGCATAGTTTTGGCTTATTTTTTAACCAATCATTATATCCGTATGGATCCTCAACAATGAAATATCGATTTGATACGCGACATCTTTTCATTTATTGGTGTTTTCTTAAAATTATTAATTAGAAATTAAATTAAATTATTAGTAAGTTGAGATGATACCAAATTTGATAGGATGCGATTGATAACCTCGCAGGTACATTGTTGATAATTAGTGCGGAACGACATTTTTTATGTACGCAACTGAGTAAGAAGAATCGACAGAGTTACGATTTAGTTTTATGAAAGAAATATGAAACTTTTTCAAGATAGAACGATGAAAGTCATCAGCTGAAAACACTCCTATTCTTAAGACTCGAACATTTATATGGCAATTGTATTATTTATTTTGGATAAGATTGAGAGTTTATAGAATAGAATATGTTAAATGTGAATGATTATACTTTGATTAAGTATGTATATAATCCTTGAGACTTGAATCTCGGACATTTTTTTTTGCAAAAATATATAAATATATACAATCATTCAAAATCAAAACTTATTATTTATAAACAATGCTCTTCGATATTGTTTTATCGATATGTCTAATATAAATAGTTTGTTTGTTTTTATTTAATTTTCGATAAAACACGTTGAATAAATTGCTCAGTTTTAATTATATTTGGATGTGTTGATGGTAATGCATGACGATAGATACAAGCAGCTTTTTCATAATTATTTAATGCTTGTTGTAATTCATCTTTATCTTCATAAACAAGACCAAGATTATTAAGTGTTGATGCTATTTGTGGATGTTGTGGTGGTAATGTTTTTCGATATATATCAAATGAACGATTATGATGTTTTAATGCTAAATCATAATTACCAAGACATCGATATATTATTCCTATATTACTATGTGATGCACCTAAATCAGGATGATCAGCTGGAAGGTGTTTTTCTCTTATATTTACAGCTTTTTGATTATATTCTAATGCTTCATTATATTTTTTTTCTATTTGATATATACCAGCTATATTATTTAAACATATAGCAACTTTAGGATGATCATTACCAAATGCTTGTTGAAGTATAATTAATGATTTATGAAATGATTGAAGTGCACGTGTATAATCTTGTTTTTTTTCATAAATTGTTCCAATACTATTATAACTATTTGCTAATTGTGGATCATCAGATTTTAATAAACGTGATTTAATTTCAAGTGCATTTTTATGCCAATTTAAACTTGATTCATAATCACCTTTTTCATAAGCTATTATACCAAGTGCATGATAACATCGACCTAATTCTTGTGAATCTTTTGCTAATCGATCAAGTGATCGACGATAATAATTTTCTGCTTCACGAAATTTTCCCATATCACGTAAAACATGACCAAATGAAAGAAGATCAGTTTTATCTTGACTATGTTGATTTTTCATATGTTCAAGTATTGGTTTTAAATCATAATCATTACCACTAGCTAATGTCATATGTATAATCCATAAATGATCATCATTACAATAAATTTTAACAAGTCGAAATATTGATCCTAACATAAATAATACTTCGGATTCATCAGGAAAATAACTAAAATTACTTATATTAGCAAATGGTTTATCATTATTATATTGTGGATTAGCATCAATTTCAAAAAGAACTTTTTCACATTGATCTGATTCACGAGAAAAAATTAAAGCTAAATTACGATTAAGACTTGTTGAAAAAAATGAATTTATTGATATATATTTTCCAATTGAATTTTTTAATAATTGAAGTTCATCATGAAACATTAATTGACCACGATAAACATGTATTATTGATGAACATTGATATTCTAATAATTGTTGATATAAATCACGTATAAAAAAACGAAATAAATAAATTAAATCAATATTTTGTATACGTAATGCTTTATTTAATAAACGATATAGAAATGATTGTCTTGTATACCACCATATAGCACGATATGATGTATAATTTTTTTCAAAATCATTTATTATTGATAATTCATGTGGATTACCTTTATATTCATCTTTACATACAGTAACAAGATCATTCTTTTCATATATACTTGATTTCATTCGAAGTAAACAATCAATTAATAATTGTGAATGTACAAATTGTCCATTAAGTCCTGTTGTTGATTGACCTTGATCTGTATTGAATATATTTATTGGAAGAATTTCATCATCTTTTTTTTTAATACGATTTATTTGATCATGTTGAATTTGATTTATTAAATCTTCTGATTTAATAATAACAGCTTGAATCTAAACCATTGAAAAATTCTTATTAGTTTTTTTCTTTTTTTGTCAAAATATTTTGACAGACTATTAAAAATGAAGGCAAATTTTCAAACAAGAGAAATAATAAATGAATTGATAATTTGTATTATACAAAAAAAGAAAAACAAATTTTGAAATTCATAAGAATTAATAATGAATCGTCAGCGATAATCAAAATAGTGATAGAACTAGATTGCAATCTTGTAATTAAGTTTTTTATGTGAATTTTCTCTTTTCTGAAGGCATACGAGATCGAGATCGATGAATAATAAATTCCGATAATTTATACTCAAAAAGTCTTTGATCCTATGTCCTTTGATTTTTAAACTCAAACAACCGAAAAAAACAATGAATATTAAAATATATTATTTCCACTTTGTAAATACAAATGATGTAAAATCATGTCGTCAGATTTTATACTCTACGTAACTACGAAAAACATGATTCATAAGTTTTCAAGTTGCTAGAAAGTATATTTTGTTCTTTGCTCGTGACATTATTGATTTTATCAAATTGAAACATTTTAATAGATTATAACTGCGTGATTATTACTCATTTTTTAGCTGTCTTGTAATCAAAATGAAGAAAAATATTTTTTTTTCTCGACTTGAAATTATGAATAATTCCTAAGAATACAATCTAGCGTGAATATTGAGAAGGTAACATCCTTTTAAAGATCGATTGTGAACTTTTAACTTATTGCTCTAGAACAGAATCGAATTGATTCTAATTTTAAAGATAAGTGTGTGTGTGTACGTATAATTACTTTATTGAAATTTTTAGTCCATTGTCCATTTGTTTTTCTATCCATACAATAAACATAGATTGAACAAACTTGTCGAAGATTATGTATACGTGGTACTAATTGTCGACCTGATATACCACTAACAATAATAACAATACGATCATGATTTGATACAGATCGAATATATTTTTCACAATTTTGAATATTATCAAATGTTCGTAAATGATTAATTATTGTTCGTAATTGTTGTTGAGTATGAAGATTTTCTTGTGAATCATTTATTGAACTATCAAGCCAAACAAGTGAAAATGTTTCTAAATTACTATTATGTGATGTTGAAGATGTTGTTGTTGTTGTTGTTGTAGACGATGTCATCCCAATGAGAATTTAATTGTATTTAATATAAAAATGATGTTTTTTCTTTTTCTCATGTCATTATGATTTGTAGAATTATAATCTGAATTAAAATGAAAAATGTTTATTCTTTTAATTCAATACAAAAATTATGATAATTATCATAGATAAATGTTTCCAACCATAAATAACCAGGTTCGTCAAGTATAATAAGATTCAAATGAGACAGAACGTAAAAAAAGGAAGAGAAATATACTTGGTTTTTTCCAAGTATTATTACTTGACAATAATTAAAAAGACGAAAAAAGAATAATTTCTGTTTTTTCATAATAGAAAAAATCTAGGTTTTTTTTGTCAATATTTTAGATTTATACATCTTATCATAACTATTTAATAAGTTGTTTTGATTAAAGAAAAATTGAACGAATTTTTGTTTCAATTGTCAAATAAAATAAAAATAAATGTTATTTATTAAATCTTATATCGATTTTAATATGATATATAGAACTAATAGAAAATTTAAATGAGTTTCAAAATCAATTTTTAAAATTATAAAAAAATATAATGTATTAATAAATGCATATAAATTAAATAGTTCTTACCAATATATGAAACTTGGAAACATACTTGATTTATATATACATACATATAATTTTGTTGTTTTAAACCAATCAGCATGTGATATTATTATCTGTGGGAAAATTTCGATTTATATATTCTTATTGCGATGATTGATTTCTTTTAAGATAAATCATAGATTAAAATATTATCTTATTAATCAAATTTTCATTAGAAATAAAGACAATTTTTGTTAGGGAGACATCTATAAAAAAATCAATCAAAATCTGATTCAAACAGGAAAACTATATTGATCTTAATCAAAAACAAGATAGAAATAGAAGGCTTTAGTATTTTATCGTATAAAATATTTATTTGCTTTTAAGTTAAAAATAGAATTATAAAGCTTTTTTATTCTTTTGTCAATTACTGATAACAATTATCTAGTGTTTGGGGTCATAGTAGATATAGGAAAGGGATGCATTAGAGATAGTCACGTCTTTCTTTCAGATTATTTTTCGATTCATTCGCAAATGAGCCGACATGACCTCTCTCATTTGATTTCAGAAAATGGTTTGTGACTAGAGATCGCGCTCATTTACGAAAATTCGAGACGCGCTACTGGTTTATTTACATCAGATTTAAGATATATCTGTAAAATCTAAAAAAACTACGAAATAAGATTGAATTCAACAGGAATAATATACGAATATCTATAGTTACCTTAGTTATTATCTATAAAAGATATTTTATAATTAAAACAGGTGTACGTAAATATTCGCAGTTTTTACTGGTATTTAGATATAAGAGACAAAACTGAAATTAAATAGATAACATAACACTGCATACGAAAGATAGAAAAAAAAGAACATCCGATCAATCGTATATGAACTCGACACAAAAGTCAATGTTTTTATATAATAGAGTAATTGAAAATGAAATTTGTTTT